GTATTTAATTTCCACCCACAGATTGAAAAGAAAATCAAAATATAAAATTGTGGTGAACGATTGAAAATTACAAAATGAAATCAAACATTTACTATTTCCCTAACTTAACTGTAACGTAACTTCAACAAAACGTTTCACTCCAAAATTTGAAGCTTAATTTCAATAAATTTGTGTGGAAAATTAATCACTTTACAACTACGAAAGTGAAAATGTCTTTTAAAATCTCTCAAGAATTCAGGGATTCATGAAACTTCACACGTTCATTCATATCCGAATGGTATTTATTATTATCCCTAATTATCTATACATAGGCTTATTGGTATTGTAGGATTGTGACGAGGTACATATGTACATGTACATGCAACTCTCAAGTCCAACTTTGTGACGATTGCATGACAATTGCGTGACGAGCCCAAAAGAGCGTCTGCCTAGGAGGCTATGTGGCTCAAAAACTAAGTGGAAATGCCATTGTCAGCCAACTAAATGTTTTTAGCATAACCCAGTGGCTACAAAGGCAACTACTATCGATCGATAGACGGCTCTTGGAGCGTGTGCACAGTTCCTCGTGCATTACAGCCAAAAAGTATTAAACAGAACCATCAATAAATCAGTTTTTATCGATATTCTATATTTAAAAGATTAGCCGCTGGGTTATGCTAAAACAAATAGACGGCTCGCTCTCGGTTTCTAATCGACCAACTATCAGCCGATAGAAGCCTTGAGCTCGGCATCTAATATTATTGTTAAATATTCAGACTCAAGAAAATGTTTATTTTCAGTGAATAAAAAATTAATTATAATCTGTTGTAATTCTTTAAAATCACCAATTAGCTACTAACAGGTCGTTTCCAAATAAACATGATCAGACTGAATTCCTGAGCCATTGACATGGTTTATTCTAGCTAATGCTGGAAAATTCATCAGACCCATCCCTGGAAGTGCTCCATCAATTCCATCGGCCCCTTGCTCTCGTTCCATTAAAGTAGCGCGTACGGCCTGCTTGTACATTCCTTTGGGTATCTTCAGGAACATGAGGTCCGTGACCACGCGCACAGAGTAGTCTGGGATGTACTGACCCAATGCTTTCACATTAGTGCTGCTGAAGCTTAGTGACGGCACTAACGCTCGTGCACCAAAACATGTGAAGGGGCCTTCTTCAAACGTGAGCTCTTCTTGTCCAATGGTAACTTCCACTCTCCCTTGAATGATCAAAGTGAAGAATTCTCCTGCAGCGTCTTTCTTGTACAGGTATTTGTGGTTTATATTGTCCTCATCTTGTAGTTTGATCTCTTGGACGACATGAGGCTGGTTGATTAATCGCTTGAGGACGTTGAAGGAGATGATGTCCTCACTGAATGCATCGACAGCTGTTAAAAAAAATAACAGCCAAAATATCAGAAAGTAAATTTTATATGGAAAACAGGTCCATGATAAAAAGGAGCATTCTGATTGGTTCCCTGAGCAGTCTGAATTTTGCAATATAGACCAATCACAAATTAATTAAGCTGTATTCCTTTTATAAAACATTGAACAAAAGAAAACATTTTTCATTCATGTCTGACAGACAATTTTGGTTGAATTTTTACGAAAGTGGCCTAAAAATGCAGGGTTATGCTTAACTTTAGCGCATGCATTTGCCGAAAATTGATGCAAGGAGACCAATCTGGGTGTGGCTCAAGCTTTATTTTACCCCTAAAAGATACCAGATTTCATGCCTGATCGGTGTAGACCGCCAACACAGTATGACAACGTTTTTTATTTCTTCATATGCAACCCTAAACAATACCTTGATGGCTAAAATTGGCGTTCTGTCCTGAACACCAAAAGTGATACTAAAATCCGTAATAAATTTATACTCCTAAAAGTGACGATGAGCACCTCCGCCCCTTTCATATGGGAGTCTCCCTCTCCCCCACCCCCCGATCCAGAGTCCAATGCACCGCAGCTCCTGAACCCACTTGGTGGAAAATTGAATATTTATACTTTTGTTTCATAAGGAAAACACATTTCTCACCTGTTGCAAGATACTGCAATATCGCTAATTGCAACTGAGGAGATATTTTTGGCTTGTCTTGCTCTTCAGAAAACAATGAGAGGTTTTTCATCAGTCCCTTGCGGCCCGGTATAACTTTTCCAGACTTGTTATCCACTGTTATTGAGGGACATAATACACATATAAATTTAATATTTCAAATACCTTGAAATAATACTTCTTAATAATTGGGTGCAAGGTCTGTACTGTAAGTTATGCATCAAGCTTATTAATTTTTTTTCCTTTACTTAATGGTACAGGTAACTTAATAAGATGTTTATTACAGTAGGCTGTCGCTCTCTCGAACTCTCAAGGGGAACGAAAAACAGTTCAAGATAGCGAGGAGTTTGAGATAGCCGATAGTAAATGACTGAAAAACAAGGGCAAGGGGAATGGGTTTGAGTTCGAGATAGCGGGGTTTTTGAGATAACCGAGTTCAAGATAGCGGGAGTCTACTGTATATGGCTAGTTAATTCCATGCATTAATTCCATGCATTTCCATTTACAAAATAAAATAACCTGGATAAGACAAAGTTGTACCGGCTAAATCAGCCCTAATGCGTTTTATCTCTCTTTGAATATTTTATGGCAACACTGAGTTCCAATATGATAAACGTGGACATTGCTTGAAAATCTAGATCTGTCAAGGCTACTTAACATGTTAGAATTACATAATGTATATATTTCTTGCAACATTAGAACAAAACACAAACAACAAAAGCCATTCAATTGCATGTATATATATTTGCACTAAATTGTATTTGTGGGTAGTAATTAAAATGTAGCGACTTTGAGGTTGACTATATGCCAAATGAATGCAGGATATTATAAATAATAATGATCTTCAAACCACAATCTCTTTATGATAAAGAAAACAATGAGATTTTCAAAGCCATTTGTGTTAAATGTAACATCTGTACATGTATTTAACTTCCCTAAAAGAAATTAATACAAAATTAAATACAAAATAAAACCCTTCTTCAAAATAAAACGGTGTATTCAAAGATCGTGTTTGTATAGCAATATCGTTGAATATTCTACAACAATACTGTAATATTATTAAATTTTTGAAACTGAAATTTGCATGTACAGTATATTGACAGACATGACAGTATATGTGTCAATTCTAAACACAAACAATGACAGTATCTCATTTTATCGTATTTCTTTTCAAATTATGTACATATTTCTACCAAGAAATGACCTGAAGCTGGAATTTGCAAGTTCTTACATTATTTAGAAATTCTGGTAATGTGGCTATCCACGTTATCTTATGTTTAATATACCCAAGGGCACCAAAATCTTGTGTAAAATCTTCTGTAATAGTTACAAAAGATATTAAAAAATCCTAATAATTTAACATGCTATACTTACAATAGATGTCAGTTTCATCGACTATCTCTGACTGGATTATTTCTTCTAAGATGTCTTCTAGAGTGACAATACCAATGGCTTCATAGAAGGGGTCTCCGTCACCCTCATTGTTTACGCGTTGGACCACTGCCAAGTGTGAATGTCCCTTTTTAAACTCTTCAAGCATTGCGTCGAGATGGACGTCATCAAAAACACGCTGAACCCGATGATTGTAAAACTTAATAACTGTGCGCAAAGGCGTGCAGTCATCTGTATCAATAAAGGCCAAATCCTTCACCAGCAAAAGACCTACTATGTTATGCCTCTCACCGTCGTAGACTGGAATGCGACTATGCCCTGATTGCATAATGTGCGCAATAGTTCTAAAATCAAGGATAGACAACACGTCCAGGAGATAGCAATCCTCTAGCTTGGTCATGACCTCTTCGACTGTTTTGCTCTTGTAGTTCAACACCCCTGAAATAATAGTCATTTCATCGCCTTCCAAATCATTAAACTCAGCAGTGACTTTCAACATTTCTTGAAGCTGTCTCCTGTCGTACACTGTGCCGATCTCGGCACCTAATATCCAATCCAAGACGCGGCTTATCGGGTATGACACGGGGAACGTTACTAACATGAAAAACTTTGTGATCCAGATTGTACGGGCACCCACGGCTAGACCGTGCCTGGAACAGAGACTTTGGGGTATTATCTCTCCAAATATCACAATACCAGCAGTGGAGCCAAGAACTGCTGCAACCCCACTACCGATTATGCCGTCTAAAAGGATTGTAAACGACGTATTTACCAAAACATTACCCAGAAGCAACGTACATAACAGATAATTCCCCTTTCGGCGAAGAGGTTCGATGCTTTTGGCGTATCCTTGCTCACTGGTGTTGCCACAGTTCATAACAATTTTGAGCTCTGTTGGATCTAGCGCCATTAACCCCAGATTAAGCCCTGAGAACAAACCTGACAGACACATAAGAATTAAAATGAATACGATCTTCAGCCAAAGGGGCAAAGAGCTCTCGATGGTAGCCTTGATCTGAAGCAATGTGTCGCTCGCACCACCTTGATGCATCCAGTCACTGCCATTGCTGAACTGTAAGCAGACATAATACACTTGTCCATCGCTTGTTGCTGGCAAACTAACTTCTGCTTCCCCCTTGTACTCCCGCAAGCCATTTTCCTTGAAGGTTACAGGCTTCGTTCGATCGGCTTCGCATTTCGTCTTGAATTTTCCCGCGGTGGTTGTAAAAGAAATACGTGTATCCCGCGAAAACCCTGCACCGTAGAATCTAAGCGACACCAAATTGTCGGCGGTTATTGACACAACGCCATCGTCGATGGACGATTTGCCACCTGATTTACCGACTGGACTTATTCCTGTTAGTTGTAGTTCACATTTTACAAAACCAATGAAAGTACACGCTGCAAAAATACAAAACGTGGAGACATAAACATTACACCTTCTGGCAAAGATGGCGGCCATCCGAGACTGAAGATCTCGTGATAGATGTCACGATGTTACTGGTAGATACCAAATATGGATGTGAAGTAACTCGGTTTGTATAAGATACCAATATTCTTGCACTATTGTTCGGTTGGTCCGTTAGCTCAGTTCGGCAGAGCGCGGTGCTGATACACCTGGATCTCAGATCCAATAGCTACGCCGAGGTCGAGAGTTCGATCCTCTCACGGACCACATTTTTTATTTTTATTTTTATTTTCTCCCACTGGGAGCCTGTTACAAGTATTTTTTTTTCTTGACTGAAAAACAAAGAAGAAAAAGCTAAAAAAAAAAAATAAAAGAGATAATAATATTTTTAAATATTCTCTCGGAAATGTTGTTTTTTTTTGGGGGGGGGCAGGTTTTATTTTTCCGTTTTTCGTTGTGATCAGAGCTGAAGCACTGAAGTTTTTATGATCATTATAAGCAATCTTTAACATAGATGGTTTGCGTCAGATTTTTGAAAAGCTCGTTTTCCCGGTGAAAAAATGTTTGAAATTTATGGTGATTGGACAAAAATGAATTTATAGGCGTTGCATTCCAGAGGCATATAGTCACGTGATCAAAATAATCGATATTTCCGTTTGCAGCTTGGAGAGAAATATTTTTCCAGCGCATTGCCAGTTTACTGCATCTTGTGGTGTCCTGTTCTCGTCTGAGGACGTATTTGTACCGCCATGAGTCGAGGGACAACCACAGTAAGCGGTGATATAAAGGTAGAAAAGAGTAAAATGAAATGGGATCCGAAAACGTTGGAAATTCGCACGCATTCGGTCGAGAAGACCCTCGAACCTCTAGTTCACCAGGTAAGTTTGTTTATCTTGTTTGTCAGTGGAATTTACTGGAAAATCGAAGACAGATTCAACGCGATTTCTGCGTTTGTCTTAAGGAAAGATGTCTTGTACAGTTACTGATATTCAGAAGAAAAAGCGTCTAATTCTTTATGCATGATCCCCGGTTACTTGTCGAACGCTGATAAGATTTATTTTTTACTCTGCCTCTCGCGCGCAGCGTGAGTGGTTTTACATGACAATCACTGTAGTTTTGAGAACAGCTTTTAACACTTCGTGAAAAACCTTTCGAATGTAGTTTTTTGGTGAACAGATTATACATTTCTTGCGTCATTTGTGGCGATCGCGAGTATATTGACTGTCAACTTCAGATGACTTCACTCTAAACTGTCGACTTCGTAGCTTCGATCGAGTTTTATTAATTGCAAATAATTGTTTGGGTGTTGACACTGGCATTTCTTGCAATTTCTGTATGTTTTACGATCCACACTTTTGGCGAATTCGAATGATTTAAGCTGTTGACCGTTGATAAGCTATTTACAGCTATTTATATCTACCGGCGTTTTATTGCAAACAAATCTACGATATGTTCAAGGGTGCGGCCATTTTGTTCCCTAGAGTCGCTATTAGAAAATTTTTAACACCATATTTTTTTTAATATGAAGCATGGAGCATGCCATTTCTGGGTTGGTGCTGAGTTCAGGGCTGTTTTTAGCAATACATCGATCTGATCGACGTTGGTTTTATCAAATTACTTCTGCCCAACCTTCGGTAATTAGGCTGTCATAAAAGGTTAAATCATGGATGACTTATCTGTCGTTCTTGTCATTATAAAGTGATCATATTCCATGCATGGGGTAGATGTGGCATCTCAGATTTAGGAATACTGAATGTTGTCAACTATTGTCAACTTGTGTAAGTGAAATGATAATTCATATACAGCAACAGTACTGGTAGTTGTTTGTTTATTATCCCTGTCACAAAAAAATGCATATCAACTAATTAATTAAGGGGACAAAATTGACTCCAGTTGTCGAGTGGCCTGGGTTCGAACCCAAAGAGTCTTGCCAATCATAGCGCTGTCAGGGCAACCTGACAAAAATGCTGGAGGGTGACCTGCGATGGACTAGTATCAGCGATATCTCCAAGTGAATCTCTCACGATTCTCTTCTTGAGAGACCAGACAATCTTCTCACAATAAGTGATTCTCCTCTCGCGAGAATGGGATGCTAGTCCATCGCAGGTTTCAACCCTCCAGCATTTTTGACGGGTTGCCCTAACAATTCTCCATTACCCATTTATACTCCTGGGTGGAGAGAGGCACTGTGAGAGTAAAGTGTCTTGCCTAAGAGCACAACACAATTACCCCGGCCAGCACTCGAACCCGGACCGCTCGATCCAGAGTCCAACGAGCCAACCATTAGCCCACCGTGTCTCTCACAACCCACCTATTTTAGATGTACCCATATGCACATTAATTTTCAGGTAACAACCTTGGTCAACCATCCTAAGAAGAAGGGAAGCAAGCTTGGGAAATCAAAGAATGCGCACAAACTTGCACAAGATATTGAAGATGCCACAGCTCGACTGATAAAAACAGGGGAGGACATTGCTCAAGAGTTCCCAGAGATCAGAGAAGAAATGTTAGCTGCATGCAAGGATTGCCGAGGTGCAGGTAGGCATTGTGGTGTGGAGAAAAAAATTAATACATCTACATGTAATGTTTTTATTACATGTATATGTACATCAGGTTTGTTTGATTTTCATTTTACTGTGCATTTCAATAACACGCAACCTCTGAAGTTCAAAATCCAACAAATTATTGCATTTTTCACTGTCGACATGCGTTTCTCCCCAGTATTCCAATTTGATATATTATCTGAGCAGGGTTCCAGATAAGTTTTCAAGGCAAGGTGTCGATAAGGAATTGCAGCGGGTATGTGGGCCTCACCAGAAGTTTCCCATTAATTTGTTGGCTTTTAAGTTTTTGATCTAAGAACCGTCTCTCATCTGGAACACTGCTGAGTAGCAAAGATTTGCCTGTTGTTCAGTGTTGCCTCATTAAACAAGGTTACTAACACAAAGCTACATTGTAAAGTTAATGTGAACTGCACGTCCACACGAAGCTGGCACAAAACATGTGCTGCCCCTGGAAAGCCCCGTTTATGCAGACCCACTCGCATGGCCACCGGGGAGAGCCGCTGACCCCATTGGCTTGAGTCTCATCCAGTTTACCCCTAGTGAGGCATAAGGCCGCATTGGCTCGATTTTAACTTAGCCTAAATTACATTTAAACTGAAACGCATCACATCATTTTGCTCAGGCAATTCTCAGACACAGGATTCCAACTATAAACGATCTACACATGTACGTCTAATGTTCCTCTGTCTAAATTATATTTTGCTTCTTGATTTTGAACATTATCTGTGTTGTCTTTCAGGGGATTCTATGCGTACAGGAGCCAAAGAGTTTGCAGATGATCCATGTGCATCAGCCAAAAGAGGCACAATGGTCAGGGCAGCCAGAACATTGTTATCCTCTGTTACAAGGCTGTTGTGTGTCGCGGACATGGCAGATGTGTACCGCCTCCTGGCTTCTCTGAAACTGGTCAGTATCAATTCATCTAATACAGTCAAACATCCATTAATGGTAACCTCTCTATAACAGCCAGGAGTTTTTGTCCCAACTGTGTGCCGCCAATCGATACAGTTTACTCTTATTGAAACCTCCACACAAAAAGTTTGCAAAAAGCGAAAAGGATGTGTCGAAAAACAATAATTTATAATAATAATAATTATTATTATTATATAATAATTATTTATTAGTTTTTGCATTAATTTTGGAGTCTGAAAAATCTATAGGAGTTCTGAAAAAGTCCTGGTAAAGTTCTGGAGAACTGTTGTTGAAAAATAGTACTAACCCTGAGATAAGATAAGATAAGATAAGATAAGATACTTTATTTACCCACGTACTGTATCACTCAGGAGCTAAAAGAAGCTCGTTAAAACGTGAACGTGTGGAGACTGTATACAACTGTGTTTTCACATGGTTCCATATTGTTCACTTTGTTGTAGGTGGAGAAGAGACTGAAGGAGCTAGAGAAAGCCAGTAACACCGCAGACTTGTTGAATTCTTTTAAGAATCTCGGGAATGACTTGATGGACTTGGCTAAGCTGTCTGGAAGGAGACAAGCAGTGAGTGAACATAATCTGCTATTTACTTTTTATTTATTTATTTATCATCCAATGTGCTAATTTCATTTTGGGAACTCCTGCCAGGATTCCACCAACCTGGAAGTTTTTCCTGCCAAGAATCCTGCCTAGAATCCCGGCCTTCACAAGAATACTGCCAGAAAAAAATCTTGCTGTGTATCATGACGAGAATCTTGGCACAAAAATATTTTTCAATATATTTTTTTATTGGTAGTTTTCCTGCCAAAAACTAGTTTTCCTGCCAGTTGAAAGGCAAATCCTGGCAGGAATAACAAATTCCTTCTCACTGTTGAAATAATAATTTATTTTTCTTGATGAATTCTGACTCTGGAACCTCTTGCTGTTCAAAAAATTAACATCAAGTACATAGTGAATGGATCCCGCCGTAATCCTTGTGGGTTTTTACAAGGGAAAATGTTTGTGTAAATATTAAGTGGATTAATTTTTTAAATAATATTCAGGATCTGAAGGACCCACAAACAAAAGATGACATGGCTGCTGCTAGAGCTACCCTGAAAGAATCCAGCAAAATGTTGCTGTCATCATCCAAGGTAACATTTTAAAATGTGCAGACTTGCTACTGGCAGTGATTTATCGTTCACTGTCGTCAAGTTTTGATTATAGTAAGGAAATATTACTGTAAGGCAATCCAGACAGTTAGTGCAATTTTCGCCTGTTGTTTCATGCCACTGAGAAATACTGCCTACAAAAACAAGCTGGCTGAGCGATTTCTGTATTTTCTTGTTTACCAATAACATACAATGTTTACTTTGTGATATCATCATCATCATCATCATTTTGCTGATATGGTGTCAAGATGCCAATAGTGCAAGGTTGTGATACAACAGGTGCAAATTGTCTGCAGTCACAGGCAGGATAGCCACACTAAACAGAAGAAACAAATATTTCATGAATAAACGTAGTTCATGGTTCAGAATTCCAACTGGCAGGAGACTATTTACATGGTGTGGCCGAGGAGTTGAACTCAAGATTACCAACCACAATGACAAATCTGGGGCTAGCGACAGGGTGGAAGGCTTCAACATGAGGGACTTCCATATTACAAGACCAGCATTGGCACTAGAGAACCGCTGTGCTTTACCACTCTGCCTCATCCTACATTGTACACTTAAATGAAGTGTTGTTTTGTCTGTTGTTTATTCTCAGGCATATGTACGTCATCCTGAAGTGA